GTTTGGTACTATTTCAACTGTCAATTCGACCTCGAAATTTGAAAGGTTCAAAACCTATCTGTCCCATGTTTGCTCACTCTATAATTTTGTATACGAGAAGGTTTTCATCATAACTTAATAAAAAATTATAATTTAGGTTTTGGAAATCATAGGTTTTTTATCAGAAAGCAGTGGGCGCTAACACTCTCGGACATTTCGACGGCCATTTTTAACCACCAAATTAAACAGAGTATATAAATAAAATAACACCCGAAATAAAGTTTTTTGTTACTTAATTAAATCTTATCTTTAAGTTTCTTATAGTAGCTGAAAGTAACAAAAACATATAAATTTTACACAAGTAATATTTTATAAAGCAATAGTTTCAGCATACCTTCTGATGGGTCATATACGCGTAGCCATATTTGGTTACAATTAGAACGTCCTACCCCCCGCATCACGGATGGGTCCGCGCAATGTATGGCCGTTTCTACGTCCTCTCTCCCTTCGCCCTGGTCTAAAGCCACTCGCGCTGCGCGGTCGTGGCTTTAAACCTAATAAAACACTCCTGCTCGTTTTATAAATAGAACATAAAATACAAAGCAAATCAGTTCGTTGTTTAAGTTTTGAAAGACAATGATGAAACTATTGGTCATTATGGGCGTTGTTCCTTCATGGAGGTCAAGCTCAAAAACCTTGGGGTCTCAATATAAACGGTGAAACATATGGTATGTGATTGAAATTGTTTGATGGAGTTTTCAGTATTTTTTACAAGAAGTATGCATGCATGAGTATAGTAATTTTATACTTTTTTAGTATTAGTGATTATTTTTTAATTAACTTCGCTGTAAAACATATTAAAATCTGATTAAATAATTTTTTTGAACCGGGATTTTTTGAGAATAGCCAGCCTTGTTCTTTTAAGAGACGTTTTAGCTATTATGTCTAGAGCATTGATTTGGAATCAGCATTGTAATTAGTATTGGAATTAAAATCGCATGCTAAGTCCCCTACAAATGAGCAGGTTTTCCTTGACAAATTTTATTTGCTCGTGTGTACAGCCAAAAATTTACCGTGCCAATTAGGGGCCTTGTTCTAAAGCATAGTCATGCCAGTTTTTGACAAGGAAAATTTGTTTCATGGCCACCAAGGAAACCTTGACAAGTGCATGTGCCAGAAATACTTCTATGGTTTTGGCAAACAAAAGACGGTCTTGACGTGAGATAAATTTTTAAAACATTCCGCTGCACACGAGTAACAAAGAAAACTTGTCAAAGAAACTTGTCAAAGGAAAATTCGCTTGTCTGTACGGGGCTTTAAATTAATCTGATGTCATTAGATATTCCATTTTTAGATTTTCACGGCCCTATGATAATCAAATTAATTGATAGGTTACCGCGATTAAATGAAAAGAAATAAATAATTACAAGGTATAGTACCTATGTTTCATTTCTAGATGATGGGCGATTCCTTCGTTTCAATAATGTGCCAGGCCAGGCACATTATAAGATTCACGTAAGTATGATATTGAAAATTCTTTAGTTGTATATAAAGAATCGTATAGTCGCTGATATTCTGACCGTTATAAGACGACAACCACAAACAACTCTCATTTAACACATACTAAAGAAAAACCTTTTGAATGTGATCTTTGGAAGATCCGGTCTTCACAGTCAAGCAGTCTGACAAGACATAAAAGAACACACAGTGCAGTCAACCTTACCAATGTGATGTTTGCAAGAGAGGATTTTTAGAATCTGGTAAGTAATGTCAAATCCAAGCATGCCCATTCCCCTGGACATTGTGGGACATTTTCCTGTCCACCATGTCCCGGGGGTAGGGCATTCGTAAGCAAATGTTTGCCTGGGGGTGGACATTGATATTAATTGTAGATTTTAAAGAACAGTCAGATTTGAGGGTTTGGTACCAAGGAAACTCAAAACATAATTTTCAAGCCATTTCACAATGAAATTTTAATTTTCTACAATAAAAAGGGTGTCCCAAAGAATGTTTCAGTCATTGTTTGTGTTTATATTACTATATTAACTTTACACCATTTTACATTATCATTTCAAGTCGACATAAAACCTACTAAAGCATTGCAATACCTTAACTACTTAACTGTCTTGGGTATTTTGGGAGAAGTCTCCAAATGTACAAGCCAAGTAAAAAAGTGAACTTTATTTAACCTTTACTCCCCCTGGGGTGGGGAATTTGCTAAAGATTTTCTGCCCCACAACAGGGCATTTTCACATGTATTTCATCCCCACCCCTAGGCAATAACCAAAAATTGTCACAATTTGTCAAAAGCCTGGGGGGTTGCCCAGGGGGGATGGGCACGCTTGTATTTGACTGATACATTAGTAATACACTTAAGAATACACACTCTGAATAAACATTATGAAAGCGATGTTTGCCACTTGCCAGAAACCATTTTTCCCCTCAGGTCACCTGGCTGTGCGTAAAAGAAGACATACTGGAGTCAAGCCGTACGAATGTGATGTTTTCAAGATCAGGTTTTCAAAATCGAGTGGTTTAACAAGACATAAGAAAACCCATATCATGAACAAAGCTTTCAGGCGCGATTTATCCATGGTAGGATTCTCAAACAAGCCGCAAAAGAACACAAAAAGGAGATAAATATGAATGTGATATTTGCAAGAAAGTTTTTGCAACAAGGTATAATTTAGTCATACATAACAGAACACATACCAAGGAAAAGCCATACGAATGCGATCTTTGCAAGATAAGATTCTCACAATCATGCAGCCTACAGAGGCGCCGGAATATCGGTGGGGAGGGCAGATATTCATATATTCGTGTTCTGCCCAATTAATTTCTTTTTAAATCGATCGTTTTTACAGTCTGTGAACACGAATATATGAATATCTGCCCCCGCAATTATCAATATTCCGGCTCCTCTACCAGCCTAACAACCCACCGGGCACACGACGTTGTTTCAACGTTGAAATTTGGTAGAAAAAGGTTGCGACGTCGACAACCTAATATCTACGTTGCTCTGACGTTGTTTAACAAACGTTGGTTCAACAGCAGCCAACAGACGTTGAATTAACGTTCATTCATGGTTAAATGTACGACGTCGATTTGTGAACCAATCTCAACGTTGTTTTAACGTGGATTCAACGTTGAATTATGGTTGACGAGATTGGCAACCTAATTTCAACGTTGTTTCAACGTAGAAACAGTAACGTCGATCCAATTTGCATAGTCAACCCTTTTTCAACGTCTAACCAACGTCTGGAAGGTCATTTCCAACGTTGATTCAACGTTGGATAAACGTCATTTTGCCCGCTGGGAAGACACGCCAAAACACACAAACGAGGTGCACCTTATGAATGTCATGTTTGCAAGAAAATATTTTTTGAATTGGATAAGCTAGTAGCCTAATACACAAGAGGACACACAATTTTAATAAACCATATGAGTGTGATGTTTGCCAGAAACAAGTTTCTTCATTAAGTAACCTGACTGTCCATAAAAGAGTACATAATGGGGAAAAACCCTATGAATGCGATGTTTGTAACATTAGGTTTTCGTAATCAAACAGTCTTAAAAGACACAAAAGGACACGCACTGGAGACAAACCTTACATATAGATGTGATGCATGCAAGAAAGGATTTTTAGACTCTAGAAATTTGGTAAGACATAAAAGGATACACTCTGGGAACAAACCTTATGAATGCGACGTTTGCATGAAAGGTTTTACAACCAAGAATAGCCTGGCAACACATAAACGAACACACACTGGATATAAGCCTTATCAGCCCTTATGAATGCAATATTTGCAAGACCAGATTTTCACAATCGAGCACATGGAACTTCAAAGCCATCTTGATGCCCATGTCAAAACGCAGACGGACTTGTAAGGTATGTATACTCGCTGTGGATACTAGACTTACTAGTATACAGTATGTCGTCCAATTCTACAGTGGGTTATTACATCGTGTAGGCGTAGCATATTAAATTTGTTTTGTGTTTTTCTTAATTTAGCTAAAATTCTATCGTAATCACTGACCACACCCTTACGAAAAATCCTATAGGATCCTATAGGAATAGAATTCCTATAGGAATTTCCTATAGGAACTGAATTCTTATAGGAATTTCCTATAGGAATTTCCTATAGGAATTTCTTATAGGAATTTTCCTATAGGAATTTCCTATAGGAATTTCCTATAGGAATTCGTATAGGGTGTTATATAGAATCCTATTGCTGCTATTATATGTTTTTACTCTATTATGCGAAAAATTCAAGAAGTCGATTATTTGAAGTGCATGAGGCATTTCTTAGTAAAAGTTGGCGACAAGTGTCTTCTTATGTAGTTTTTGACGCTGAATCCGAATTTCATGGTCACAAACTCTGATTTTGCGTTTGGATCAAGATAATGACGTCACATTAATTACGTCATGTGATTGACACTAGAAATGACGCTCTCTTACTTGTTCGTGTCTATTTCGAAATTGCAAACGCTATATTCTCCTTTGTGAGTTGTTAAAAAGCTAATAGACCAGAAATAAGCATAAAGTTTACGAATAACACGAAATAGCCGATTAAATAAACAAATAATTTGAGTAAAAACCGACTTTAATGATACGGCGAGAAATGAAAGCAGATGAAACCTTTTTTTTTTATTAGTCTTTAAGAGTTTTGGACTTCTGGCGGCGATCGTGGCATAAGTAAATTTGAAAACAGAACTGGAAATAGTTTTTGAAAAAAAATATTTAAAAAAAAATTACAACCCAGACAAACAAGCGTCTGAAGTGTATAGAGAATGGGTTCGTAGACTAGATGCTGGCGCCTGTTTGATTTGTAAAATGTATTAAAAGGCTTTGAATTTTCTTCTTGATTTAATATATTTCACCGTTTAGAGGATATTTCACCGTTTGGAGGACAATATAAATTTGCGAAGTCTGTTTTCCTAATTGCATGGGAAAAATCGATTCAGCTTTGCTGTTATTGATTGTTGTGGATCTTGTGGTCTTCAACTTTCGAGCTGCAAAGATGGATCCCGTTTTAACGTTAAAAAGATCTTCACAAATCGACGTAAATGCTTGTATTACTTGCCAGACCAGTCTTAAAGATGAACATTTGAGAGCTGCTACTGATTATAGCAGAACGGTAGTTCGCGATTCCATGAATTTGCGGAGCAGGTTTAGAGATGTTGGGAACAGGGAAACAATCAGTAGGCTGGAAGAAGTCATTAATAGTATTGATACTTCAATCGTTTGGCATGTCAAATGCTATTCCTTATTTACAAACAAAGACAAAATCCAGCGCCTGAAGAAAAAGTGCCACAAAGATGAGGCGTCTGCAAGACCAACCTCAAGTCCGCATAAAACGCGTGCGCAAACAGAACAAGTTGATTGGGATACATGTGCTCTCTGTCAGGTTCATACGAATGAGCGCTTATCATCAGCTATGACATTTAAGACGAGGGAACAAATTATTGACATTATCTAAGTTTGATAAAATACTGTGCATTCGATTTGCGGGTATCTCAGATTTGATAGCCGCTGAAGCCAAATAACACTTATCATGCTTCAGTGCATGTAAAAGATCAAGGGATAAGACAAAGAGTGAAATGAAAGACAATGACTTAGCATTGGTTTGGTTGTCCAAAGAATTGGAGTATGTTACTGACAAAGGCCACGTTATTAGACTTGATGACGCATGGGAAAGATACACTACAGTATATTAGCCGAAAAAGCGGACAACACGCTTCCCTCTTCTTTTATCAGTCGAATTTAAGGAGAAACTTATGCATATGGTTGGAGACATCATAGAGTGCGTGCAATCATTTGCGCACAAAATGCATACCTTGAACACGATCGTTAAGAAATGTATGATTGTTCACCGTACTTGGAAAACAGTACACTATTATCACCGTAGATCAGGCACTGTACTGCAAATTAGTCTAGTTGAAATGGGCAATTCCGGAATATCGAGAGAAACTTGTCGTGCAACTTGTCGTGCAACTCCATACTTTTTCAGTTACGACCGCCTGAATTATATGAAGTGGGGGTCGGTATTTATCGCCGAGATGGAACAATTGCCGTATGAAGTGTTGCAGGAGTTTAAGAAGGGTAACTTCGTTGTAAAGTGGAAAGAGGGCGCTTTCAATGAAGTAACCGCTGACTATTCAGTTCCTTATTTCAAGTGTCCAAATCATGCTAAATCGGGCGCAAAATGCAGCCTTAATCGGCCAGTTACTTATTTGGATAACTGGTTATTTGTGTAATACAAAACTCGATACTCACGTGTGCGCTATAACTCATGAGATGTTTGGCCTAGTTCAAGAGGATACGTATTCTCACAACGACTCTGCGCCTGCAAGGATTGTTCGCGACAATAAGGATGAAGAACCACTCATTTCCGTCTTCGAGAAGCATCATGTGTTTTCACCAACATCCCATCCAGAATGTCATTTCAGCATCGCTACGAAAGATTTTGCCACCGTCGAGATTCAGCAATCACTGTTAGGCGCGAAAGATATGAGACAGAAACAAGTTAAAGACTTTGTACAGCAAAGGTTGACTGAACCACTTCAACAGCAACCTAATAACGAGCAAGGGGATACCAAGGTTCAATTTACGGATACAATGCACCAAGAACAATTCTCTTACTTTCGATTCGTTGTATCAAGTCGCCAAAGGGGGGGGGGGGCAAAGAGTAAGAAAAGAACACGATTTTCCGGGCTGACAAGAGTGTTTTACAGCGTGTTATCGTTGCTTACGGAGCTGGTCGAGAATTGAAGTAGATTTACATAATGTTTTGTCGCATGAGCTAATATCCGTACCCATATCATTAGCACATACGAATGGTAAACTTATAACTGGCCAGAAAGCACCGCTGGCTGATGTTCTCACCAGGTGAATAGAATGTCCGAGTGCTATAGATTTGCAAGAAAGTGCATGTTTACTGATTGACGGCATGGCATTAGTAGTAGCAGTAGGAAAACATGCCGACGCTCAAACTTTCGGAGCCTACGCATATAGATTCCAAGATGCCGTATTGGGAGCAGGTTCGCCGTATCAGCAAATTCACGTACTATTCGACAGATGCGAGAAGAGTTCAATCAAAGCAGGCACGAGAGGACGCCATACCAGGACTATTCGCCCCGTTCGTCGTGTAATTGAGAACAAGAATGTTCCACTCCCGAACAGCTGGTCAAATTTCTTAGCTTTACCGGAAAACAAGGCAAACTTAATAAACAAGGCTAACATTTAATTGCAAATGCACCTCAAGAGAAAGTCATTGTTGTTGCAGGTGGATTTTCCGACGGGGAAGAAGCGAAATCGTCAAACCAATTGGTCGATCCTTCTATTTTGTGCGCAGATCACGAAGAATCTGATACAAGACTGGTTGTACATGATATCGTCAACAGTTGTGACACGGTTGTTGTGTCTGCCAGAGATACTGACGTGCTTTTTCTACTTGTGGCGCATTTGCCAAGTATGCCTTCTGCAAATGTGTGGATGATGGCAGGAACAGCGGTCAGGCGCAAGTTCTTCGCCAAACCCGGACGGAATGGGCTAGAAGGGAGAAAGCGAAGGCGGCAGTAAACTCGTCTCTCTCCTTATGACAAACTAAACCATTCCGAACGCATGCAAGGAAATTATATCCTGCTCTTGTAAAAGTGGCTGCACGACATTACGCCGTGGCTGCAAGAAAGCAAAGTTGTTCCGTACTGGCGTCTGCAGCTGCTCTGTGGATAAAAATTTCCTGCAAGAACAAATGCGATAAGTGAACAGTACAGTGAGATATGATCAGAATTTAGGATACGCGCTAAGTATATTAGGGAGCATTCCATGCACTGTGTCATATCGGTCCAAATGGCTCTCCCCTATTTGATTAAAATTTTTCGATCAGACCAGTCATATACTTCAAGTGACATCGTTTGACCGTGTAAAATGGGAAGGTTTTATGGCGGACGCACAATTAAGTACTTTGATATTTAACCGCAATGCATTTTGCAACGTTAAATAGACTTTTAATGATAATGAGCATTCATTGAATTTTTTTGAACATTTTTTCCCAACATAAAGGTGAAATATATTTGTGATTGAAAATGGCTTAGACATGCTGTAATTGGATGAGTAACAAATCTAAAATATTTATTTCTCTTGCATCTTTATGTGCTGTGACGTCATATGTAGACGAAAGTTTTGACGTCATTTTCGACTACTCAACTGCAGATTGAGATCTGGCGACCATAATTTTCGAATTCAGCGTGTTAAATAACATTAGAAAACCACGATCGCCAACTTTTACTAAGAAATGTCTCTTGATGCACGATTTTCCGAAATTTCGTCTAGTCTATAACTCCAAAGATCGATATCGATCTACATCGGATATATATTGTTATCGATCTTTGGAGTTACACTTGTTTTGTATTTTGCTAAAATACTCAGTGGTTATGTTTTTAGTATCAATGTGTTTAGCTAGCTAGGATTTCTATAATTGCGGATGGTCTCTAATGCAAGCATTCCTATTGGAATTTTATCCCTATAAGAATATAAGATACAGCCAATAGTTCGCGCGTCAACTGGACGCCCTGGTGACTAGTTTACGCTTCAGAGCGCAAAGCTTCATGGGATAGCATCGTTTTATTTGTGATAAAAAATATTTGGTGTCTTATAATATTGTGCTTGGAATATTTCGTTGCTATTTTTAACCCAACCGGTGGAAAAGGAATCGGAAAGTTCTTATTAACATGTTACTCATGCAGATGTCACAGGTAAGAATACACTGTTAATTTCAGGGTGTTAAAATAACACCTTGGGTGGTGTTAGATTAACACCAACTGGTGGTGTTAAACAAAGGTGTTATTTTAGCACCCTTTTTCGGTGCTAATTTAACACGACATAAATAAAAATATTTTGCAAAGTGTTAATTTAACTCTCAAATTGTTTAACACCACTTTAGAGGTGTTAAAATAACACCCACTTAAGGACAGGTGGTGTTAAAATAACACCGGTTTCTGGTGCTAAATTCTTGGTGTTAAAATAACACCATAAGTGGTGTTAAAAATTTGTATTCCCCAGTGTTAAATTAGCACTGTTTGTGGAGTTAGAACATGGGTGTTAAAATAACACCTTTTTGGTGGTGTTAAATTAGCACGCAGCACGAGTGTTAAAATAGCACCTTTTTGGTGGTGTTAAATTAGCACTGAGCACGGGTGTTAAAATAGCACCTTTTTGGTGGTGTTAAAACTGTTTGTGGAGTTAGAATAACATATATTCTTAAACTAAAACACTTTTACAGTATAACACGGTCTATAAACACACGTTTTGAGCCTGGTCTACCGTCACAGGCTAGGGCTGGCCGATTACAGGTATTTCGCCAAATTAATTAATTGGCAAATATTTATCCGAATATTATTTACTGTTAGCATGAAACAGCCGCATATTAATTTACTGGCAAATTATAAACCATTTCACAAATGAAACATTTGAATTCAGAAGTTAATACTTTTAAACATATAAATAATAAATTAACAGAAATAATTCCCATGTCACATGCATGTGTCATGTATGTTTATGCATTTCATCATACAGATTGGAAACTGGCAAAATTGGACCTCAAAATATCGCATTTCAAATGTTATAACACGCCATAATTTGCAGCAGTAGCAACACAATATGAAGATAACACACAATGAAGCCGAAATATTTGAATATTCGCGCGCCGCATGATCGAGCTTTCAACCAATGAGGATAGCGCCGCCGTGAAATCTAATACCTTCTTCTCACATCAATACTGGCATTTATATACATGTAGTTTGTGGTCGTTTGTATGGGAATATATCTGCTATTGTGGTGC